TCTCTCTCTCTCTCTCTCTCTCTCTCTCTCTCTCTCTCTCTGTGCTACTATGAGGATCACAACCCTGGATACATCCGCCTCCTACTCATGCCCCGGCTATGGCCGCCTGTCTTCCACAACATAGCGCTGCCCAGCCGGGCTCCTTAGCGCTCAGTGCACTTGCAATAGCGCACAAGCACCAACAGCGTTTCCAACTTCTCGCGAGTGAGCAATCTGTTTGAATGAGGCTGGGCCAGTCTTCTTATTGACTTGGACTGGGCCTGTACTTCGCTCGGCCTTGCTTGACTTGGCCTGGGCCTGACTTGACCGGTACCGTTCGCCCGTGGCCTGTTTGCTTTTGGAATATTGGGGCCGGGTACCTTCCAGACTTTTCTTGCAGCACTGCTGCATTTTTTGACTGTGGGACTGGAGTTTGGCCGGGTACCAGTTGAAAATTTACCTGTGTGGCCTTTGGGGTATGCAACGCGACCTTTCGGCCTCTTTTGAGTTGGGGATCTTGACGCTGAATTGGGGTCTGCAACGTGAAAAAGTCTTTTACAGACCTCCGTCTGTCTGTAAATACTATTGGCACCATGAGTAAGGGGTCTGGTGGGCCCTGTTAGGGTCAGATGGTGAAAAGACCAGATCGAGGGACTGAAGAGTGGTACGCTCTTTTGGTGGAAGGAAGCAGTCAATGCCTCTGTCTCTGTGTCCTTAAGCCATAACGAAGGGAATCGTCTGGTGCATGTATTATTTATTCATTTTACAACAAAAAAGAAACAGACTCAAGGTACGAGGTTTATTGTAAGGGACACTGGAACCAATTTCCAGTTCTTTTCATGTAAAACAAGAGACTCAAAAGAGAGAAAAAACTTCAAAAACCGTGATAGAGAGTGCACAAACGCTAATTTCCCCCTAAAATAAAACAAGAGTAAACAAGACGGCATCCTTGCCATCTGTCCTAGCCCCTCCATTTCCCTTTTTTCAACCCCTTTTTTTTTCTTTTTTTTTTAACAACAGGAGGCTCCGATCTATTCGTGCTGAGCATCATGTGCTGAGAAACGGGCCCAGCGTCCCTTCTGAAATACATTGCTGAAAATTTGAACTTTACGCCTGTTTTCTTTTCTTTTGCTCATGTGCTGAAGGTCTGACCATAGAGCGATTCCCCGCGAGAGCATCTGACGACCTGGAATGCAAGCGGCCTCCCACTTTCCCACCCACGTTTCTGTACTCCCTCTCCTGGGAGGATCCACGAGAAGACGACAGGGTTCTTGAGATAAGCTCGGACGATGTTGTCCTCACCCTGACGTCGGGTGGCTGCAATGCCCTTGATCTTGTGCTCCAGGTCAGTTCCTCTTTCTTTCCTTTATGCTTTCCTTCTCTCATTCGTTCTCTCTTTGTTTCTTTCTTAGTTCTTTTTTTCTTTCTTTGTTTTCCGTTGGACTCTCTCTCGATTTATGTGCTTGCGCAGGGGCCATGCTAATCTTCTCTGTATTGTCGTGCCACTTTTAAAGGATGTCGCAAAGGACTCGTTCTTTCTTACTTTCTTTACAAGAAAGATAATAATAATAATAAAAAATGATAAAAATCTCTTTATAAGACCGGAAAGTTGGAAGCTGGGTGCAGCATCCCTGATAAAAGAAACCCACTCAACATTTCCCTTCGCTCTGGCCAAGGGAACTTGTGATGGTGGTATCGATTGCATCCTTTTTCGGGAAGGATGCACCACCCCTCTCCCCCTTTTTCCTTTCACCTTTCTTGCCTGCGTCATGGTAGGTACTAATGTCGTTTTCACTTCTCTGATATAATGCCTCTGAAAAGAGCAGCCTTACCTTGATCTCAGTCTGAAGAATCCCTTCTCAAGTTGTCAGTGGAGCACTGGTTAAAAAAAAAAGAAAAAGTTCTCAGTCCACTGCTGAGGACTGTCCAATCTACCGTAGGAACTACGGAAACCCTGAACGTTCTCAGGTCTTGTCTGTCACTTTTTTGTTTCCCCTAAAAAGTCCAGGGTGTTGTAGAGGCCAGTTACTAGGCACACATCGATCGCCGGAAGCGGTCAGCCATGGTTGCCCTGAGGAGACGAGGCCACCTCCCATCTGTCACTTTTTTTCCAAGTCTGTTTTTTTTCTTCTTTTCTTTTTCTGACTCCTACGACCCCGGCACGACCCCGGCAAGTTGGTAACACTTACAACCATGTGTACAGTGCTATACACTCTAGGCTCCTTCCATTTCAGTCGAAGGACCCCCAGGCAGCATTCAAATAGGACTTGGCTCAGGCCTAGGCTGTTGAATCCTGCTATCTATGCTGTCAGCTTCCCACCTCTTCGAAAACACGCGCAGGCCAAGGCTGTTGAGTTCTGCTATCTTTGCTGGCTTCAATCGGTGGCTGCCAGAACTGTTCCTCTTGTTGGATCCCGTTTCTTCCATCGTAAAATCTGATGAAGTCCCTTTTCCTGAAGTCTGCCTTACCACTCCAGTGTGTCCCTTGCTCTTCATCTTTTGCATTGCGCTTCTGATTTTTCTGGCTCCATCATTTTGATGAGGGAGGCGCAGGTCTGGTCCATAAACTTTTTTTTCTTTTCTAAGGTTTTTTTTTTTAACTGCTGACCTATTGCTAGGCTACTCCAGCAGCAATTACTAAGTCAAAAAGGAAAACCACAGAAGTCCTCCTTGGAATGCTCAGAACCCCCGGAATTCCTAACGAACCCTCTAAAATTCTCTAACACTGTTTTATTGCCTGCCTATCTGTTTCATTGCCATCAGTAGGCAGGGAACAAGGCAACTTGTTGTCATTACAGTCATATGTCTGTTCCAATCAACAACAACAATTACAATGTTCAGGGACGCTGGACCCGTTATGCAGCAGGTGCTGCATTCAACCACGAGATTGCAGCCTTCCCGGGAGTGCTAGTGGTGTCCGCTCCCATCAGCACCCCTGGCATCAGCTCGGTTGTTTTTTTTATGTTTTTATTTTTTATAAGGGAACACCTTTTCTTCCAGATGATCCTGAAAGTGACCTTCGAAGGCACCCTTAGGTAGGAGGAATTTTGGATGGCCAGGAGGGTGGCTACAGTCTTCCCCCGAATACAACGTACGGTCATTATAGCTGAATTTAGACTGAAAGATGGACCAAATTCGGCTATAATGACCGTGCGTTGTATTCGGGGGAAGACTGTAGGGGGTGGGTAATGGCAAAGAGGACGGACCACAGCTTCGTTACTCTTGACCAGATTCAGATGGCAGCTGGCTTTATCATGCAGGGAATTACATCTTGTTATTTGTGCACGTTTTGCACAAATGCGAGCTGTTTGGGTCCGCTTTCTTTCCTGCTTTTGTGGAGTCATTTCTAAACTGCGTATGCTACCAGCCATTGGAAAAAACTATCTTATCAAGAGCCATTTATTTACTGGGAGGTCGGCATATGCTATCGGCCGTTGGAAACTAAGTATCTTTACTGGTTTGATCTCTTGATCCCAAGGGACTTTGCCAGAATGGCACTCACAGCTGTTTGCGTTCGGGCTTTAATTGAGTGCCATTATTTTGCGTGTACTCTTCTCCATGGATTTTCGTGTGTGCTTCATCTATTTCTCAATCTCCATTTCCCCTGTTCCACTCTCTTTCTCTCTTTTCCTTTATCCTATGCCTCTTTTCTCGAGCCTCTCATCTGTTTTAACCATAGCCGTCGCCCGTATGTGCTGATCGCATTCCTTCCTCGTCAGTCGCATTAGAGCCATTTATGTACTTTGAGGGCTGCATATGCTCTCAGCCATTGGAAACCAAGTATCTTTACTGGTTTTATCTCTTGATGTATCCCTTCCATGGTAAGTCGCATTGGAGTGTTCGGGTGCAACTGTAGTAAAGCTGTCTATCTTTCGTGTATGATAGGAGCTGGGGCATTACGAAGCCCAGGTTGAATCCTACCTTAAGGTCCTTAACTGAATAATTCAATAATCTTTTTTTTTTTTTTTTTTTTTTACTAGTACCTTTCCCGCGTGGGAAAATAGGGAAAACTGGCTGTTTTCCCAATCGCCTGAATTTTCGGAGGTCGGGCCCGACGACGACGGCCATTGATAAATCTGATCGGCAGCCGTCGTTTCGTTTCGGCCGCTGCAAAGGTCGGACGCCTACCCGAGGCCCGCTATTTTCCCAAGCGGAAAGGTACTAGTGGTTTAATTGAACACCAGCTCGAGTGGATGCTAGGGGTGCTTGGTAAGAGCAGACACCACTGGCACTCCCGGGGAGGCTCCATTTATTGGTGGGGAGTAGCACCTGCGGGAAAGCAGGTCCAACGTCTCTTTTCTACAATAAAAATATGAGAATATGAACAATTGGAAATAGTGTCTTGTGAATCAGCACCTCTTCACCCATTGTTGGGTGCCAGATCTAGCACTATTATCTAGTCCTGGTTCACTCAAGGGAACATGAAGCTCCAGTCTGTTACGAGGACATAACCTGAAATCTTCACACGCCAATCATACCCAAACCAAAATCTTGGAACCATAGTTGATAGGGGAGGGGGAAAGGGTTCAGGAAACTTTACTATTGGACGCAGGGGTATGGATGGGTCTACCAATGGCCAGTCCTCAAATACCATCCTATAGTCTCTCCTTATTTCTTCAGTGTCCCCTCCTGTAGCCCTTTCCCATTTTATKTTTTCCMYCCCCYCCCCCCCCCCCCCCC